TAAATTTTGGACGTACGGTTGGAAAGTTATAGGTCAAAAACTGAACAGAGGTCGAAACTGAAAAACAGAGAAACGAATCTGCCCAAAAACGACCGGTCGTCACTGTTCATGACTGGGACTTTTGGTCCGCGGTGTGTTCTTCCATTTTCTGTGCTGAATCCAACCGTATAAAGAACGTAAATTTTGGACGTACGGTTGGAAAGTTATAGGTCAAAAACTGAACAGAGGTCGAAACTGAAAAACAGAGAAACGAATCTGCCCAAAAACGACCGGTCGTTACTGTTCAGGCGACCGGTCGCACATGAATCTGTCCAAAAACGACCGGTCGTCACTGTTCACGACTGGTAGTCACTGTTCATGGCACTGTTCATATACATCTCAACACTATGTGATTATTTCTCTGTCTCCTCTCTGTCATATGTCTACTCTCATTTTACTACTACAACGACATGCTAACTTTCTTTTTTGTGTTCTCACAATTTTTATGTTGTTTCATCCATGTTTATTTAATTTATTTTTTCATACTATAATTTGGAATGGCGCAGTTTTATACCTCATTCTATTATTTTATGGTGGTGTAATTTCATTGCCCATCACATTGTAACACATATTGTCATAATAAAAATGATGGTGTGATTTTAAAACCCATCTTATTTTATGTTGAATAGTGGTGCAGTTATATTGCCCACAATATATGATATGTTATATACTTCATATATATTAGTTGATGGTTTTATCTCCACATTTACTTTGTTAAAGGTATGGAGTAGAATTAGTGCCCATAACAACACATTTACTTTATCGCACATTTACTTTTATTCAAAGTATGGTGCGGAATTAACGTCCATACAGCAAGCAATTTACTTTATGAATTTACTTTATCGCACATTTACTTTTATTTAAAGTTTGGTGCGAAATTAATGTCCATATAGCGAGCAATTTACTCTATGAATTTATTTTATTGTACACTTACTTTTATTTAAAGTATGGTGCGGGTTTATCATCCATACCAGAAATTTATTTATAGTACTTTGGTTTTTATGAAAGAAATCATCATTTAATATACATGAAAGATGAGGGCCTGAAGTTCCTCAAACAATTAAAGAACCTAAATTCATGTTAAGAAATGACTTAATGTCCCAGATCCCGAACCTAAAGTTTCGAGTAAAATATACAAGATATTTTTGGCCTAAAGTTCAAAAATATATTAAGAACCTAAAGTTTTAACAAAGTGCAAACAAATTATTGCAAATTCTTATACATCTCATTTTCTTTTGAAGATGGCAAATTTAGCAAAGTTGGAATTTGCTGCCTTGGACATATTTGGGAACAACTATCTATCATGGGTCCTAGATACCAAGATTCATTTGCGTGCCAATAGCCTTGGAAAAACCATTGTAGATGGAAGTGATGCATCCTAGAAGAAAATGCGAAGGCCATGATTTTTCTTCACCGTCACATTCATGAAGATCTGAAAAGCGAATATGTGGCGGTCGATGACCCATTGGTTCTGTGGAAAGCCTTATGCAAAAGGTACAATCATCAAAAGACGGTAATCCTCCCGATAGCCAGATATGAGTGGATACACTTGAGATTCCAAAATTTCAAGTCAGTGTCTGAGTACAACTTGGCAATGCACAAAATCACCTTCTAATGAAGTTATGTGGTGAAAATATCTCTGAGGAGGATATGCTTGAAAAAACTCTCAGTACCTTTCATGCCTCAAATGTGCTCCTACAGCAACAATATAGGCATAGTGGTTTTACGAAATATTTAGAACTGATATCATGTCTTTTATTGGCCGAGCAGAACAATGAGCTTTTATTGAAAAATCTCCAATCTTACCCAAGCTAAGCACCATTATTTGAAGTGAATGCTGCATCTCAAGAAGTGAATGCCACCTCCTCTCGTGGCAATACCCACAGACGTGGGTGAGGAGGCAGGCATGGGCGCTAGCAAGGGAATAGAAAAGATTGTGATGCCCATTCATATGGCTTAGGTCCAAGGACCAATCCATCCACGAGCGGCAAAAATGCATCTTTGAATAAGGGGAAAACTCAGACAGCCATGTGCCTAGAAAATGTTGAAGGCGCTTGTCACATATGTGGCATAAGGGGACATTAGGCGTGTACATGTCGTACACCGAAGCATTTGGCGGATGTTTTTGAATCTTCACTTAAGGATAAGAAAGTGGGGACAAATTATATTGATCATATTGATCCAATGGATATACCAGATCCACCAGCCACACATGGCCCATTGGAAATATCGCGTCAGTTAGACATTATTATGTTAATTATTAAAATATCTAAATCAATAAAACACATAAATGCAAGGTTTAGTTGATATGACATGAATACATCAGTTGTTACATAATACGGTTAATTCAGTGTGTCCAAATAGCATTACTATTATTCAAACTTCTGATGTGTGTGTTTGACCAATGATATTCGATTTGTCTATGTATTGAATTGTTATTTGTTGGGGTTGAGTTGAGACACAAAAAAGAAAAGGCCAAGAAAAATAAAAAGAAAGGGTCTCGAATTAATATTTCAATTGGGCTCAAAATGTTTGTTTGTCCACAAACGAAACAAGCTTGAAGTAACCTAACCCAAACCCAAGACAATATACATTTTGGAGCATTCTCCAATAAGTATTTAAGTTAAGGATTAGTTACATACTTCTAATCTCAGCCGTTGGATTACATCTAATAGACTACCAACACATTTAATCAATACAATCCAACGGCTAAAATTAAAAGTATATAATCAATCCTTAACATAAAATACTTATTGGAAAATCTCTCATATATTTTAGTCCAAATTTTGTGAGAGGGATCTTGAAAAATCTACTGCAACTGGTACCAATTTGAAAGGTATGTCATGAAGAACCTCCACAACTTGTGGGATTGCTCTATAAAACCCGTCATTCACAACTTGTTTCTCAATTGTGCGTGTTTGCATTTTGTTCCAAGTATTTCTCCTCTCTCCAATTCCTTTTCTTGTTGGTTTTGTTTTCAACGTTCATCTTATTTGACTTGTTTCTCAATTGTGCGTGTTTGCATTTTGTTCCAAGTCCTCTCTCCAATTCCTTTTATTGTTGGTTTTTGTTTTCACCATTCGTCTCATTTGTGCAATGGCTTATAGTTGCGATTTGTGTAATGAGACTTTCTTTGAACACAGTGAAATGATTGACCACAAAAACAGGGGAAGTCTTGAAGAAACACTTCCGCGTTCATAAAAATACACAATGTGTGGAGAGAAAATGTGCAAAAATCCTATATACCCCAAACATGAGTCACATGTGAGTAGGGGTAGACTTTGCGATTCAAATCTCTGAACCAAACAAAAAGAAAAAGTATGAATAATGCTCCAAATACTGACTATAAACACACCTAAGTTGGACGAGACATGTTCAAACTCATCAATCTTGAACTGAAATAATTGCACTCAATATTCCTAATCCTCACCTCAAAAGAACACTGTCAATCCTTCTCAGAACAAAAAGAAAAACTGTCAATCAGATTGAGATATGGGATCATGAATTCAGACAAGAACAAACTAAAGTATTGAAGAATATTCTCTTGCAGAACTGTAAATTTGGACAATTGGTCATGATACTTATGTTTACAGACCGTAAAGTTGGACCACCGATCAAGTTGGCTCTTGCCTAAATGCGTGAAAGTGTGGTCAAAATTCACAGTTGACAACATAAGATTTCGAATGAATGATCAGAGGATACTATACACCATAGGAGCTCAACAAACCTGCAAAAACCAGATATAACCCTAACATGATGACAGGGCATACAACACTGGTGGGTTACTCAATAATGAACTCAATTGGATTCTCTATCCTACAGATTGGGATTGAACAGGCAGATAAAATGGTGCACATGTGCGAGAACTTGATAGAGCATGCTGCATGTTTGTCTAAAGTTCTAATTTATGGGCCACCTACAAGTCTCTCAAAATAGGCCATCCTTTTTTAATAATTTCATTGATCTTTGCATCAATCTGCCTCTGAATTTTTGGAGGACAAAGCTCTGCAGCATAGCCATTCAGTTTTGCAGCCAATCTTGACCTCTCAAGTTCCTCTTCAGGCAAGTTTCCAATTAATTGGAGAAGAAATGGCCTACGCTTCAGCTCAAACTTCTGCATTTCAAAAAATTTAGGATATAGTTCAAAAGATCTGTTTTTTTTGTTTTTTCACATCTCCAAAGAGCTACAGTTCAAAACATGCTCTAAAATTTAGAGAGAAATATAGGAGACTCCCTTAAGCAAGTTGACAAACGAGGAAAGTTTTACAATACAAAGATCTGAAACAACATCCCCTCTTAAAGAGTTTTGGGAGAAGAGAAAAAGGATATTGAGTAGTACCTGATGTTCAGGCTCAGCAGAATAAAATTTTCCAAGTGGTAGGATTTGAGTAGTTACACTGCTACTCTTCGACTTAGTTTGTTCTCTCTCTTTGCTCGCAACAGCCAATCTGAACTCTTCAGTTCCGTTCGTGAAAATGATAGATCTGTTTATATATGAAAAAAATCTCACTAAGGACTCTTAAGTTATGAGTTCATGTTATGCAAGAAATTGCTGTGTGCTGTCATAACTTTTACCTGTATTGGTTACCCACATCAGGACCTTGCCCAAACACTTGCCTATAATCATGACTTGACCAGAAAATCTCCAAAAGTTGCCTAAAACTAATCAGCCTGTGATCGTATATAACCTGCTCAGGATTTACAGAATTACACATGCGACTGAAACATTCAAAAAGAGAGTAAAATGTATGTAAAAATAAATTATAAGAAGCCCACAAAGTAAAAAACTGCAAGGATTCAACTGCTCTTAAACTTTACAAAAAACAAAAAGACACCACTTGGAGATAGTTTCATTATATTCGAGCCAAAAAGAAAGGTAAAAAACCCATTCATGAAAATCTAAAAGCAACGGGAAAATGGAAGAGAGACCTGGACAGACTCAGCATGATCACCCAAGCTTCTGTACTCAGGGTTGATTTTGGATCCGCCAGCGTAACCGACAGTGGTCTGTACAACCCCATTCAAGCACCCAAAGACAGCTTCAGATCTCCAAAAGCTTCCCAGAGCGAAAACTGCTGTTTTCAAGGACTGGTTGTTGGGTACGTCTCCTGCGGTTTCAATGATCCGTTCCGGAATCCTGATGCAGACACGCCTCTCAGCCGCTAGAATAATCAGGAGCATGAGAGTTGCTAGTAGACGGCTAAGGGAAACGCTGCTGCGAAGAAAAGCCATTGGCTTTGTCTGAAAGAGGAAGGCATGAGACTTTCTGCGTTTGGTTAAAATTTCCAAGATGTTATAAAATGAAAATAAAAAATAAAAAGTCAAGAGAACTAGAATGGAAGATAGGAAACTGATGTCATATAGAAAATGCTCCTTTTTCGAAGCTACAATGTTTTTACAAAGTTGATAACCAAGTTTGAGCACACATCAACTCCTCCAATGTGTTTGGATTCGCTCACCCCCCTACGAATTTCGATCTGGATCGAGCGTACCCAATCGCGGTACGGTATCGATCTGGATCTGGAACGAAAGATTTAACGACTCAGTTCCAGAGGAGAGGACAGTACCTGATAGACGACGTCGCTGCTACGGAACAGAACCTGACCGCCGACAGCAGACGAGCAATCGAGGGCGCATGAGGGAGAGTGCTATAGCTGATGAGCCCACGTTTGATTCTTGGTCTCTTGGCATAAGGGGAAGGAAGATAATGGGTTCGAAGAGGATTCCTTTGGGCGAATGGATTCCAAGAGGACAGCCCAGCCCAGCTAAAGGGCCCCCGGTCTCCCAAAATCAGCTCCAGCGGTGACATCTAACCCGGGCAAGAGGTGGGGTCCATCAAGCCTGAGTAAGGCCCAAGGCAGGATAGCCCAAGCTGCTGTCTCATAACGTTGAAATCAATAAAGAAAAAAAAATTCTGAAAAATTACCAATACCTAATTATTATTTATTAATCTCATACATATAAATAAAATTAATTCCATGTGAATAGTAATTACTTTTGGATTGTCATGGCAATGAGTGGAAAAGTACAAAAAAATTTGATAGGGTAGATACTATTCACATAAACAGTGACCACCTTTAGAGCATTTCCACCCATTTGTCATGGCAAAAGACAAGGGGATGCAAGAGTTGTTACTATTCACATGAATACTGCCTACCCTTACAATTTTTTGTTGGCTTTCCATCCATTGTCATAGCAACCCAAGGGCAACCACTACTCACATGAGATATGATGAAAGTAATTTGTATAGAATTTTGGTGTGGGAAGTGAAGAATATGGCTAGGTATTTATTAAAAAAATCTTTTGAAATTTTTGGTTTTTTTTTTCATTTTTTTTTCAATTTTTTGTTGTTTAAATTGGCTGTTGACGTCAGCATTAGGTCAACTTGCCCAAGCAGCAGCCTAAGCAAGTCTTGCCTTTGGGCTTGCCTAGGCTAATGGAGCTCAATCCTTACTCGAGCTGGACTTCTGTAATACCCCGAAAAATTCAAGGTGGATTTTCATATTTTAGTGAAAAATAATATAATTGTGGAGAATGATTATGGGTATTTTATCAAGTGATTTTTGGATTGAGATTATTAAATCAAGTATGTTTAATTTGAAGTTGGATGAAAATGACCAAAACACCCCTATGTGTGATAGATTACCAAAGTACCCTTGTAGAAAAAAAAGAGAAGGAGGCAACGTGTAAGCCAAGCATTTCTTCCCTCCTTAATTCTTCCCCCCTTCCCACTTACTTTGTCTTCAAAAAATCTGATTTTGGATGAGTTGTAAACCTATGGGGGATGAGTCACCTAGTCTAGCCTAAGATTCTTTCTCATCCTCTTCTTCCCATTCATTGTATCACCCTCTTCTAAATGGATGACTCACCTATTCTAATTAAGGCTCTTCAATCATAAATTCACTCTTATCCTCATCATTCATTGTATCATCCTTTCTTCCGCATTCACTTATCTTCATCCTCATTTTTCTTTTGTTCCTCTTCAAAATCCAAAATTCGTCACTTCCTTGGAGCAGCCGAGATCTCACATTTTGGAAGCTCAAATGAGAAAACTTTCTTCATAAAAGTTGTTCATTTACGTGATTCCTATAACATACTCAAATTTCAGCTCAATCCGACTAGTATAGACTCTGAAACGTTGGTATAATCACAATAAGTTTACCATTTCCTGATTTCACAGCAGTATGCTCGGTTTCAGTTTGTTTCTGTGATTTCATGTACTCAAATGACTTTGGTTCCTTCATCAAAGTTGTTTGAAATTCTGTCTATTATAACATATCAAAATTTCAGATTGATCTGACTTCTCTAGCCACCTTGGGAATGTTTAGAGTGGAACTTGTTTATAGTCTTCAACCTTAGGTCCTTCCCTCGTTTTCAGTCCAAAACACTCATTTCAAAAGCTCAAAACACTATGATTTCTCCATGATAGTTACTCCAAATTCTCCCCTTTATAACATATCCAAAGATCATCCAAAAGTAACCATTATAACTCTCTAAAAATTGGTATGAACAAAACTTGTTCAATTGATTATGTTGAATCTCTTGTTATATAGATGTGTACTTTCTCTCAAATGGCTTGTTCCTTATCATTCAATTGCTCAAATTAGCCACTATCATCTCAAGTAAATGATTCTTTGAA